GTGACATTTTGCTATAATTATATAATTGGAAGAGGGGGGAAAACTCACCTGTCTACTGTCTAGAGACAGAAGATAGAGGAGAGAGAGCCTATAATGAATGCTGATGTTTATCTGGGAATGTGATTGCTAGAGTTAACTGTGCATCTTCAAGGAAGTGGAAAGTTCATGGAGGGTTCAGAGAGCTGAGCAAGGTAACATTGAACTCTTGGATACAAAACTTCTGGTTGGGGCAGAGGCAGAGTGGTGTCCCTCTGAGGTCCAGTGGATTGTGACTGAGCATGCATCTTTGTGTATATCCTCTTTGGACGAGGCTGTGTGGCTTCCATGCCAGATGGCCCCTCTGGCATGGCTTCTGTGACAGCCACCACATGGCGTCTTGTTCCCCGTTTCACTTCCTTTGTGTCTATTGTTGTCGGGGTTTGGGGGCATCCATTCTGTCCCCTCCTTTATTCAGACCTGTTTCATGATGCTCTTCTGCTGGAGGAGTCCCGGTTATGCACAGTCCCCCAGCCTTCCCCCACCCTGGACTGTGTCCCTCTTCGACAGTCCTTGCTTTGTGACCTCTGATAAGAGCCTTGATGCAAGCAGGTGAGGAAGTTGCAGGACTCTCACGTCGGGTTTTCCTGCTCATCACTAAGGCTGTGTTTGGGGGGACAAACACCAGAGACTATGTGACGGTGGTGGTGGTGAAGTGGACACATCAGTCCTCTTCAGGGACCAATGTGTATTCTTTCAGCATCTCTCCCTTTGAAATCCCAATGTACAGTCTAATGATCCTGTATTACTCCTAACCTTAAAACATGTAACTCCGCACACGGACAATAACAAAAAATAAAGTGGCAGATGAATCCCTTGAACAGACAGGGACAGAGCTCTCTGCTCTTGGGACGACAGAATGGACCTTGTCCACTCTCAGAGAGCTGGCTAAACCAACCTCATGCCCGAGTTTTGATAACCACAGTGGTGACTGGGATTTGAGTCCTGTGCTGTGAGAGAGGCTGTCAGCTCCTGCGATTATCTGTGTAGACCACACGGCTGAAGGAGAGGAGGGCAACAGTCAGAAGCACACCACTTACAGGCTAGCTCCCAGCTGTGACCTGTCCCTCAATGGCCAGCCACCAGCACTGACCTTGGAAAACCCCTTCCTACACATCCAACCATGGAGGTCAAGCCAGGACTCAGACTCAGGCGCCTGCGTGGAAATTATCTTTTGATGAGAGATCAACTAATGCTGGAGACAGCTCAGGCTCCAAACCCCAGATCCTCAGAAAGTGCTAAGCGGTGTTGTTAGGGGATCAAACAGGGAGGCCTTTGTGTGGGAAGCCAGGATGGTTTTGTTAAATTACGAAACTGGCTTTAATAAACCGCCTGGAGGTACCATCTGCAACAGGCTTAGCAGCCTCCCCATACAGACACATAGTTCCCCAAGCTGATTGAATTATTTGTACACAACTTACTTTCCTTTCATAGGACATCCAATTGCTCAGAGACCTTGAAATCTTTTACTGCCAATTCATGGCATCTGGCTGCTGTCAGGAAGGTGTTGATGGATTTTGTCTTTAAGAGGATGAAGGGGGGGGGTCGCTGGATCATTCTGCAAGTTAATGGAGGCTGTTGCCAGTGAAGGAAGCATTCACCCTGTTGAATTCTGGCTGCCTCCTGGCTACTGCAGAAATGACTTTGTCAAACTGATGCGCGTGCCAGGAACCTTTGCTGTCATGGAGACCCAGAGGTCTCGGTGGAGAGAATGCCGTGTACCCTCTTGGGTACAATGAATGCATCTTAGTATGTAAAAGATTGTGACGGTTAGTGGCAATTGTCAATTGACACAACCTACAATGACTTGGGAAGAGAGTCTCAGTGAGGAACTGTCTAGATCAGATTGGTCTTCAGGCAGGTCTGTGGGGAATTATCTTAATTAAGATAATGGATGTGGGAAGATCTGTCCTCTGTGGGTGACACCAGTCCCTAGGCAAGGGATGGTCTTGAACTTTCCAAGAGTGGGGAAATCAGCTGAGCTCAAGCAAGCACAGATGCAGTCATTTCTCTCTGCTCCTGGCTGTGGCACACGTGACGTGACTAGCTGTTTGAAGTTCCTGCCTTGCCATCCCCTCCATCTGGTAACCTGGTACTGTGAGCTGAAATGAGACCTCTCTCCCTGAGTTGCTTTTCATGGCAACAGATCATGCACAATGATCCTCTCAGCTCTGGGATGCTCAGCCAGACTGTTATCTTCTCTCCTGCTCATCCCTTCAACCCTAGGGTATTTGGAAAAAAATCCCGGAGTTTACTGCATCTCCTTTGCAACTAAGAATTATATTTTTTTAATTGGTCCAAATGTTAGTCATTTATACTCAGGGCACATCAACAGTGACATAACAAAAGCCCTACACTGTGCATGTTGTGGGTGGAAGCTGGCAAGATACTTGTTGTCTTGGGTGCTGCCAAGGAAGGGTGGAGGGATGAAGGATCAAGGAGGTAGACATCAACTTTCTGGAGCTACCTCAGTCTTGGATAGCAGTTGCCTTAAAGAGCAAGATCTTCTACCAGTAAGGCATGCTGTCCTCCTGGGCAGACAGACACAAGCATTGCCTAGTGGGCAATGGGTGTGTGTGTGTGTGTGTGTGTGTGTGTGTGTGTGTGTGTGTGTAGGATTTTACTTGTCAAAGAAATGAATTCTGGTAGAGGATGGGTGGGTAAACAGATGATAGATAATAGATAGATGATGGATAGTCAAAAGATAGATGGATGATAGATGTTAGACAGATGATTGACAGAGTAGACAGACAGATAATAGATGAAAGATAGATAAAAGACAGATGATAGATAGACAGGCAGGCAGATTGGCAGATATATAATAGATAGACGGTAGATAATCTCAAATTTTCAGTGTTTCCACACAGGACTTTCTGACCTCTGCTGTGAAAGTAGCATGCATTTAGTTGAAACCATGTTGTGCCCAAATTCTGAACCCCAAAATCACCAAGAGGCCCATTTTGATGCAAAAGCGAAGAGTCTTTTATTGTAGATGTTTAACGAGCTAACCCCATTAGCTCGGGCCCTTCACCCCGCCACCATGGCGGATGGCTGGAGAAAGACCCTGAGCAGCCTCAAGGCTGGAACCTTAAAGGGCAGCGTAAGGGGAGCGTCTAGGGGTATGAAAGTCTCAGGATTGGTGCGCTTCCAGGTTTGGGTGACCTGCCCTGTGTTGATTGGTCAACTGGTTGTTATGTTCTACACGTCACAGTTGTGCACTGTCCGTAAAGCACACCCAGAGCCGTAAAGCACAGCCCTGCCAGCTAACTTCTGATTGGTTCCTTTCCATGAGGAGGGCATCTGACCTTAGTGACCAGGACAGGAGTGGCAAGGTCATGCAAGCACATGGTAGCCTGTCATGGATGCTAAAATGGGGGACAGGTCACTACAACCAAAAGTTTAATTTTTAAATTGCTCCTTTCCCTGCACTACCAGCCTTTCAATAGATATGAAGCTCTACTGGGTTGTGTTGCTGGGCATTGGCAGCAGCTGCAGCTTCTTTGAAAATGTGGGGCTCAAACCCATGAGGTCGAGACCTGGATGCTGGGCAGGGAAGAGAAAAAGAGGGGAGGGGAGGGAAAGAGGGAGAGAGAGGGGGAAGAGAAGGGAATGGGAGGGGAGGGGAGGAGAGAAGAGGAGAGGAGAGGAGAGAAGAGAAGAGAAGAGGGGAGAAGAGAAGAGGGGAGGGGAGGCTCAGCAGGCTCAGGCGTTCAGTGAATTTTGTCCAATGTGGAGTTTTCAGGGAGGGACAACCATCGTAATTCCAGGATCTAAACATGATGCCCAGGAGGGGCCGGTATCCTGCTGCCGCTCATTGTCTGTGGCCCTAGGTCTCTTCACCTCTCTGGGTCTGGTGTCTGAGGCAGTTGGCAGCCTAAGAGCAATCTCTGCAGCTGCTCTGCACCCTACCACCCTCACACTCAGTCACCCAGCCTTCCTCAGCATTGGCTCTCTCCACATCTTACACAGTGCATACTAAGGATTCCGGTCCTGAATTGAGGGTCACAGGGTGTTCTGTCGATGGGCTATAGCTAAGTGGTAGATGCTTGCCTAGCATGCATGAGGCCCCGAATTCAGTCCACTGCACTGAGAAAAACAAAAGCAAAAAGCAAAATACCAGGAGTTCTGCAGGTCTAGCTAAAGACAAAGTCAGGATCAGAGCTCACTGAGTCTAGGAAGTTCTCAACCTTCCAAATGCTGTGACCCTTTAATACAATTCCTCACACTCTGGAGACACCCCCAAGCATAAAATTATTTCATTGCTACTTCATAACTGTAATTTTGCCACTGTTATAAACCACAATGCAAATATCTGTGTTTTCCGGTAGTCTGAGGTGACCCCAGGGAAAGGGTCCTTCGACCCCCCAAAAGGAGTAGCGACCCAAAGGTTGAGAATCTCTGGTCTGTGCTCTGTAGCCTGAGCCAGGCCTGGCCCCACCCAAGGAGCGGGTGAGGAATGAGCAGCTGTATCCAGCAAGTCCCCAGTCAAAGGTCCCTAAGGATGATCATGATTGATTGTGAGTCCCTAAAGCAAAGCGGAGTCAGTCGGGCTTTGTAGTTCTTTGTGTTCATGGCCATGGGCTCAGCTCTGATGGGCTGTGAATCCAGGCAGCAGGATGGATAGACACACACTGGAAACCTGAAGCAGCCGACTGACACACAGAGCCTGGATATCACCCACCCTCTGCAGCCTGGCCGATACACGCTGGGCAGCCCTTTTCAGAAGGCTCCCACACCTTCTGCTACCCGGGCCAGCGGGCATTGCCTTGGGCCACGGACTTGCGGCAGCAGCAGGTGGGCGGAGCTGGTGGGCGGAGCTAGCGGCTGAGCTCAGTTCTCACCCTCCTGGCTTAGCCCTCGCTGACCCTATCAGGCCTTTCTCAGGAGCAGCAGGGGTGAGGCGGGCGGGGGTGGGGGGGGGGGGATGAGAAGCTATAGCTTCAAAGAACAGCAGCAGGGCTGTCTGCTCTTTCTGCAGCTCCCTCCGGAGAGGCAGGAAGAACCTCAGCCTGCCTGCTGGTCCCTGGGCAGTGGGGCAGACTTCCAGCCCCTGGAGGCAGCTGACCCTGAGGCAGAGGCCCCAGGAGGCCTCACCCTGAGGTCCCTGGGCCATTGTGCTTTTCTTGGAAGCCACAGAAGCCAGAGCCCTTCATGCTCCGAAATGCGACAAAGATTCTTAGAAGATGACAAGTGGCCTGGAATGAAATGGTAACATATTTTATTTCTCACAACCCTTTCTGAAAGCCTTAAGGGTGGAAACCATGTTGGTGTGTTGGGAACTTCGGACCTTCCTCCGGACAAAGTGTGTTTGGGATGACTGGCTGTTCAAAATTGAACTTTTGGAGTTTTTAATCCCACCATGAGGCCCAGCCCATGGGATTGCAATATTGCTAAAACGGAAGGGAAATTTATTTTAATAATCACCAAGGGGCCCAGTGGTAGTCGTGGCACACACCTTTAACCCCAGCGGATCTCTGAGTTCTAGGCCAACCTTTTCTACAAAGCGAGTTCCAGGACAGCCTGGGCTGTTACACAGAGAAACCCTGTCCCAAAAAACTAAAACCAAAAAAAAAAAAAAAAAAAAAAAAAAAAGGTGTAGTGGTTAAGAGCACTGGCTGCTCCTGCAGAGGACCCGAGTTCAGTTCCCGCATCCATACAGTGTCTCATAACCACCCATAAATCCAGTGGATCCAACACTCTACTTGTCTCTCACGGGACACATGAGTACAGTCTTCATTCTGTTACCCATGCAACCCCCATCCCCAGCAGTCAGAGGTGTCTGCAGCTCAGAGGGAGAAATGTAGGAAAGCCCCCTGGTCCTATCTCCTCAAACTTCCCTTTGGTTGCTGAGTTTTTGTTTTGTTTTGTTTTGTTCGAGACAGGGTTTCTCTGTGGCTTTGGAGGCTGTCATGGAACTCACTCTGTAGACCAGGCTGGCCTCGAACTCACAGAGATCTGCCTGCCTCTGCCTCCTGAGTGCTGGGATTAAAGGCGTGCACCACCACCACCTGGTGGTTGCTGATTTTTTTTTTTTTTTTTTTTTTTTTTTGCCCCACAAAGTTTCTTCAAAGCAGGCCTCTGGATGTTTCCTTGGCAGCTCATATAAGTGTTGGCAAAAGCTTGTTGTCCCCTTCCTGAGTTGGGTGGAGACAATGAGAATAGTCTCCCAGCCCTGCAGATTCTCAAAGGAGTAACAAAGCCTCCCTCCACCCTCCCGGTACAGTTAAGACGGAGGTGAGGAGATGAAACGCATCCCAGGCCACTGGGAAGCTCTGATAGGAACATAAGACAGGACCTGTGGTCCCATGGCTGGGGCATCCTGAGCTAGGGCAGTGTCTGGAGCCTTTGCCTCACAGGATAAGCCCAAGGTTGGGCCCTTGTGAGGCTCTTCCAGGCCTGGGGTCAGCTCTACTCTCAGGCCTTCCAAGCTGATCTTCTGAGGAATGGACCACCAGAGGCCCCTACAGAAGCCCTGCACAGCAATATCTGTGCGGTGGAGCAAGCCCCTAGATGCTTCTGTTGCCGATGCGGGCATGTCAGAAGCATGCCTTTCATGCAGAGGGCCGAGTGACGTGCTGGCCACAACTCTCTACACCGGTCACTTCTCCCCTGCAACATCCCCATGCTGGTCCTCAAGTAGTTCATGGGGACAGCTAGCTGACCGCACAGCAGCATTCAGTGATGTGTTTCTCTGGGGGTATACCTGTCTGCAGGGGATCCTGATGTCCACCTAGGTGTGGAGGTCAAATAACACCTGTGGCTAAGAGCCTCCTGGCCCTGAGAGCCTAATGGGGTAAGGGTAGGGCCAAGGCATAGTTTAAATTTGCCTAGTTGGCTGGCTGGATCCACGTGCCCCAGGGACACAGCATTCTCTCTTCCCCCCTCTCCCTCCTCCCCCTCTTCTTTACCTTCCTTTCCCTTCCAAAGCAGAAATGATTCTGATGGTTAATATTGATCATTGATCGGCAGCTTGGCAAGATGAAGAATCACCTAGAAGACGTACTCTGGGGGTATCTATGAGGAAGTTTCCAGAGAAGTTATCCTGAGGAGGAAGGACACACCCTTCACTGACCCCATGATCTGGGGTTCTGGGTGAGTGTGTGTGTGTGTGTGAGAGAGAGAGAGAGAGAGAGAGAGAGAGAGAGAGAGAGAGAGAGAGAGAGAGAGAGAGAGAGAGAGAGAGAGGACATCAGCAAGAAATGCCCCTCTGCTTCCTGACGCAGATGTGATGTGATTGTGACAGTCACCTCGTGCTCCTGGGGCTAATCCACTCAAGCTGGAAGGCAGAATAGATTTCTCCTTATGTTGCTTTTGTCAGGGTTCTGTGTCACGGCATCGGACAAGAAACAAGTATCAGAGACCCCAGAGAGCCCCATGTCTCAAAGATGCCATCTTTGACCTGGGAGACACAGAGCTGTCTTGACCTTGCGGCTTCTGGAGCTGCGAGTGAATGTCTGTGGATTGTGACCTGCCCAGTCCAGGATTTCAATACAGCGGCATCACAGACCTAGACAGTGTTAATGGATGGGTCTTACTTTGCTTGGTCTCTTCCTACCAGTGTCGTGGCCCTCCTCTCTGCTCCTGCAAGAGATGAGGGTTTGTGCTTCTATTCATGTCACCGAGAAAATATTATCATACATTTATCGTACAGAATGACGAATTTCGTAATTTATTTTTTATTCAAGTGTACGTTATACTTTGATCACACTGCTCCATTCATGCCACATATGTGCTCGCATGTAATATACACAGATCATCTAGATTCCTCATATGAGAATCTGTGTCTTTCTGACTATTTGGCTTGACTCATGAGCTCCCAACTCCATCCATTTCCCTGTGATGATGTAATTTCTCTTTATGACTAATACCCCACTGTGCATAAATGCAACATTTCCTTTACTCTGTCACCTGCTGCAGGCCATCCAGGCTGATTCGGTATCTTGAGCACTGTCAGTAGTGCTTTGGGCAGGGATGAGGGGCATCTCTGCAGAAGGCAGTCCACCTCAGCTTGGAAAATAATCTGCAATTGGCCTTCTTAGACCCAAGTTCAACTAACAAAAGGAGCGTCTCATTCCAGAGGTCCATCGTTGTCTTAGTTGCTTACTTGTTTCCGGTGATTAAAAATAACAGACCAAAACAACTTCAGGAAAGATCAGTTTATTGTGGCTCAATTCAAAGGTACAGTCCATCATGATGGGGACGGCAAGGCTGTGGGAGCATGAGGCAGCTGGTCACCCGGCATCCACAGTCAGGAAGCAGACAGAGATGGATGCTGGTGCTCAGCTCACTGTCTCCTTTTTGTTCAGTCTAGGCCTCCAATCCATGGAACAGTGTTGCCCATATCCAGAGTGAGTCTTCCTACCTCAGTGGAGCCAGTGTAGAGACTCCCTCACAGACATGCCCAGAGGAAACTAAGGCCCACAGAGTTTAGTAGGCAGCTGTGGGGCTGGGTGCAGAGAAGTGGTTTCTGCTCCCTGCAGCAGGCACGAGTGTACCTGTCTAGGCATGCCCCTCTAAGCTCCTCCCAGACCCACAGCTCCTTCCTGGGTTTATCCGCCCTGGTCACACACCCACAGAGGACCTGTGCTTCCCAAGGGCAGAAAACCGAATGCAGTGTAGACAGGTGTGGTACCCAGGCTCAGCCTGTTTGTGGAGAGCCAGACAGAGGGATGAAGGCGTCAGCCAGGACAAACCCCCTCCCTTGGTCCCAGCTCTCAGCTGGCAATGGTTCTTCTGTCTCTGTGGCATTTGGCACTGGTCTTCTGTATAAATCAAGGGCGAGAAAGAGTGACTCTAGCTTGCTTAGGCTGTCAACAAGAGCCTGGAGGAGCAATTCAGTCACCCTTGGTATTCAAAACCATCAAACTTTCAGTTACAAGATCATGTGTCTGTTCAAGAAAGAGAGAGCCAGAAGGTAACCCTTGCCATCCCTAGGTACTGTGCTGACATGTTTTGTGTCACCCTGACACAGCCCAGAGTCATCTGAGAGGAGGGAACCTCAGTTGAGAAAACTCCCCCACCAGACTGGCCTGTGTGCAAGCCTGTGGTGCATTTCCTTGATTGACGATTGAGCTCACTGCGGGCGGTGCGGCTCCTAGGCACCATAAGAAACCAGGCTGAGCAAATCAGGGAGAACAAACCAATAACCAGCATTCCTGTGTTGTCTCAGCTTCAATTCCCGCTTCCAGGTCCCTGCCTTTAGTGCGTGGCTCTTCATGACGGACTGTAAGCTGTAAGAAGAAATAAGCCCTTGGTGTCGTGGTACCATCACAGTTACTGTCTGCTTTGTCTTCTGAGGTAGAGACTCTCACTGACCTGGACTGTGCCAACTATGCAAACTGGCTGGCCAGTGAGCCCCAGACATCCTCCTGTGCTAGGATTGTAAGTGTGAATCACCCCATGGCTTTCTTATAACATGGGTCCAGGGGACTGAACTCAGGTCCTTATGTTTTCAAGGAATTCTACACTAACGGAGCCACCTGCCGGCCCCTCTTCTTTATGTCGTTATGCAAATACTATGAGCAGTCTTTGTTGTGTGTTTTTAACTTGAAAAACAGTATTTTAACTTGGCAAACCCCTCCCAGACGTGGCCCACGGAGCTGAAAACAGAGACACTCCCAACTGTGGCCACATGGAGCCAAGGATAGAGATATGACCCATCGGTGATTTGGAAGATGAGGGGAAGGAGTTAAGGGCCGGTTATTACCAGAGCCTGGAAGCAGGAGCCTCTTGCAGGATTGCAAGGCTGCCCCATGCACACAGGACTCCAGGCCTCCTGAACCGTCAGGGAGCCCATGGTCTAAAGCCATGATCCTGGTTATTTACTGTGGTGACCATAAAGTCCTCTCCCATGACCCTGACCTCATGCTTTTACACTACCGGAGGGCACAAGATGTATAACTCCTGAGACCGGATGGTTCCAGCAGGGGCTTTTAAGCCTGTAGTCCCTAGGACCCTCTCAGAGGTCCAAAGACCAGTTAAAGAGGAACGGAGGGCCAATGGAGTGGCTCATGGACAAGGAATCTTGACACCAAGCCTGACGGCCTGAGATCCATCCCCAGGACCAACATGGTGGAAGGAGAGAACCAACTTCTGTAGGTTATCCTCAGACCTCCACAGGTGCACTATGTTGCATGCTAACACACACACACACACACACACACACACACACACACACACACAAATAAGCATATACATGTAAAAAAATCAAAAAAGGAAAAAGCTAGAGACACGGCTCAGTGGCCTTGTGGTTAGGAGCTCTTGCTGCTCTTGTAAGGGACCCGAGTTTGTTTCCCAGCACCTATATTGAGAGTCTCACACACAAGCACCTATTATTCCAACTCCAGGAGATCTGCTACCCTCTTCTGACTACCATAGGCACTTGTACAGCACACCACACACACACACACACACACACACACACACACACACCACACACAAACGAAACTAAAAATCAATCTTAATAAAATAAAAATGAAGAGATCGCCTTGCCGTGTTGCAGTTGGAATGGGAAATGGCCCTGCGGTTTGAATACTTGGTGGCAGCAGGGATGATGCTTATGGAGTTTGTGGAAGCTTTGAGACTGCAGACACAGATGATGGAGTTGGGTCACTAAGTGTGGGTCTTTGAGGGCAATGGCCTGGTTCTGATTTGAGGCTTCTAGTTCAGTTTTCTGTATCCTGATCTGCCGACGTATGAGAGCAACTATGCTCTAAGACCATGAAGTCCACCCTCCCTTCCCTACCATGGTGTAATGAAACTGTAGGCCAAAATAAACTCTTCCCTTAAGTAGCTTTTAAGGATATTTTTTCACATCAATATGAAACGTTATTAGTTCACTCCTTTCAATGGAAAGTGGGGAGTTGGGTGGGGCTGGGTGCAAATGCTATTATTGTTGTAATTTATAAAAGATGTGTGACAGAGCTTGGCGGGGGAGTGGTTTTGTATTGGGGGAAAATGAATGGGAAAGGGGAGGAGACTGACCTCTGGAGACAGGAGCAGCAGAAGATAAAAGAAAGGGAGAGAGAGAGAGAGAGACAGAGAGACAGAGAGACAGAGACAGAGACAGACAGAGAGAGAAGAGACAGGCAGAGAAGCAGAGAGAGAGGGAGAAAAAGATGGGATATAGGCAGGGCCCTTTTAAAAGGGAGCATAGTGAATGTCCACAGGTGGTGCTCTTAGTGGCTGCAGCTGAGGATGTATCCTGTTCAGAACCCCAAGGACAGGCCAGTACAAATGCCTGAATACTAACAATCATCCATATCATCTCTCCTTAGTGTCCCCACATTCTTCAGTGTGTGCTGTCCCTATGATGTCCCCCATGGAGTGGTCTCAGCTACGTATCTTTTCTTAAGGCTCTATAGGAAGTGAGCATCCTTCTTTTCATGGGTATGAACCAAGTTCTAGACATGACTATTATTGACTAAAATTTGGCCAGTTAGCCAGGCGGTGGTAGAGCACATCTTTAATCCCAGCACTCATGAGGCAGAAGCAGAGGCAGGTGCCGATCTCAGAATTCGAGGTCAGCCTGGTCTACAGAGTGAGTTCCAAGACAGCCAGAGATACACAGAGAAACCCTGTCTTAAAAACAAACGAAAACAAAAAATAATTGGTCAGGTACCTACTTATGAAGCAACCACCTATGGCCAAGAGATATGGTGATGTGATTGGCCACCCTTTCAGGCAGTGAGAGAACATCAAGAGACCATGAAGGAAGCTTTCTTCAAGGAAGCATCGGGTCCTGTGGCTGGGGATAGGAGGCAGAGGCTGAGTGTTTAAAGTGGGGTCTTCTGCAAGATCCCGGGCTTGTGCTGGCTCTGATGAAAAGCCACCTGCTCTGTTGCCATGAACTGAGAGGGACAAGGGCCTGTGACGCATGCTGGGACACCTTCTGCTGAAAGGATACTTTGAAGGCACGCTCTGGTCAGAGTGCCAATGTGATCCATGGCCATCTGTAACAGTCCCTAGTTCCCACGGGAAAGTCAACCAAGGGTCTGGCCATAGCACCCAACCCCGGGTCACTCTCGTCCCTGGCTTCTCCATGGGCAGTTTCCACCCTGCAGCTGTCCCTCGGAATTCCTCCTGCCCACCCTCCCTGATGGACTGGAAACACTTGCTTCAGGGCTTGTTTTCACAAATCTGCAAACTTGAGCCATGGGAAATAACTGGCTTTTTCCGTCCCCACCGACCTCTGCATTACCTTAAAAGACCGTGTGACAAGGGACCTCCAAAGAGCCCAAGAGGAGCCTCTCTAAAGAGCTTCAAAAGCGGTCATCCTAGTGGACTCAGAGCCAGGGACCAAGCCCTCTACTTCCTCATGTGTCTCTGAAACCCCCATCCCAAGTTAGAAGCTGTGGGACCAAGGGCCGAATGAAGACCTCAAGGGACAGCAGTCCTCAGTAGGGCCACAGAAAGTGGCTCATGGCTCATTCTGCTCAGGCACGGCCAGACACAGGAGCTCCTGGCTGAGTTCTTTGGCAGGAGCTTCAAAGCCCATTGAGGATCCAGGCCAAGTTTCCTTCTCTTTTAAAAACAGAATAAACCGGCAACGTAAACAGATCCTGGCAGAGGAGAAAGCCGCATGCCACTTTCACCTTCTGGGTTTTGCTGGAATGGAGGTGCCCAAGGCCACCACGACCCACCCTGGTTCTACCATTACATCCCCCCTGTATCCAGCACACTGCAAGGTAAAAAAAAGTATGCACAGTGGTTACCCAGGAAGTAACTGTAGAATTAGGTTGCAGTTCCCAAAGCTACATAAGAAACTGTACTCAGATTAAGGACATAAACACAACACTTGTCACATCCCTGCGTTCCTGCAGGGCAAGGATCCAGACAGAGCAGGGTCACTGTTGTCACCGCTGGGAGTTGACATGCCCACACCATAGCAGCTTTCTGCAGACGGGGGTCCCAGCGGCTTTCTTAGAAGTGGTCTCCCCATGGGGTGTCTCCACAGAGTGAGCAAGGGTTTCCTCACAGCATGGCAGCACCCTCTGAAGAAGCCAGAGACTGTTGCATTACCATTCATGACTTCTTCTCAGGCCTGTTAGAATCCTCCACCTCTCTTCACAAGTCCACAAGAATCCCACAAGGGCTACATGACTCTCCTCCTTATGGTGTCTCACACTGGTGGCAGGTGCAGTTGTAGCCACTTTGTGATGGAACCCGGATAGGATGTTAAACCCCAAGCACCTTTGAGGTCACCAGCTCCACTTCCCTGAGGGTTTTAGTCCTCTCGAGTAGCCTTGTACACAGTGGACATCATTAAAACTAGAAACACTGGCCGGGCGTTGGTGACGCACGCCTTTAATCCCAGCACTCGGGAGGCAGAGGCAGGTGGATCTTTGTGAGTTCGAGACCAGCCTGGTCTACAGAGCAAGTTCCAGGACAGCCTCCAAAGCCACAGAGAAACCCTGTCTCGAAAAACCAAAAACAAACAAACAAACAAACAAACAAAAAACTAGAAACACTGATATCAGACTCAAGTCAGGAAAATGACACGTCAGCCTGCATGGTGAGGCGGTTGGGGTAAGAGGTCAGATCTGTCCCATATCTGGTCACAATGCTGTGAAACAGATTTCCCAGGGGTATTACAAGGGACAGTAGGTAGCAGTACATGGGATCATTGTGTTAAGTTGGCTCAGTGGTAGAGAGCTCTCCTCGAAAGTACAAGGCCCAGGTTCTATCCCCAGTGCTGTCAAAATGATGGTTAACGTGCGTGAAGCCGCCTGCTGTGATTCAGCTCTGCTCAGCTGCAGCCAGCTGCCCAAATCGCAGCTCCCTCTCCACCCCGGTGCCTCCATTTCCCCATCTGTGAAATGGAGCTAATAAGGATGATGTCATAAAACCTTGAGGAGTCACATGACTAGTATGTGCAAAAGCTTAGGAAGAGGGGCAGGGACTGAACTGGGAAACTTCACTGAAGACAGTGCTAACCAGGAACAGTGACAAAAGCTCCCAAGTCTCCAGGATGCCCCAGGTTGTTATTAAGTCTCATTTTGTCATCCACACATACAAGCTGGGTTGGTTCCTTCCCAGCCTGGTCTCCGAGGGAGAATGCCAGGCTCTGCCCCACCGACCTCTAAGCTGCAGACAGGCACTGCCAAGTATGAATAGTGCTTCTCAACCTTTCTAATGCCAAGACCCTTTAACAAAGTTCCTCCTGTTGAGGCTACCACCAGCCACACAACTACTGTCACTGCTACTTCAAAACTGTGATTTTGCTGTTTTCTGAGTTGCAATGTAGACACCTGTGTTTTCTGGTAGTCTTAGGTGACCCCCGGGGAAAGGGCTATGACTCACAGGTTGAGAACCGCTGATGTAGCAGCTACTCCTTGGGGTGCTCTGGAGTCCCTTGTTTCTCTGTCCCTGACAGCGCACCCCATTTGTCATTTGTTTTCCTCAATGCTTCTCCTTGGGTCTCCCTCATGGGACAGAATTCGAGAGACCAGCCCGTCTTAGTCCTGGCTCCTCCCCTCCCCTCCTTATGCTCCATGGCATCAGGGCCGGGACCCCACCCTCAGCTCTCCCCCTGCCATCCACGTCTGTATTCTTGGTCTGGTTGGACAGTTGGCTAATGAAACCAGTAATCATTATAAGAAGGAAATTAGCATGGGCTCATGTCACAGGCCTGCCGTTCTAGACCCTCAGGGGGCTGAGACAAAAGGACTGTGAGTTCATGGCAACCTACAGAGTTCAAGACTAGCCTGGGCAACTTAGCGAGATCCAGTCTGAGTTACGGAGAGTACCAAGAGTTAACCAATGATCCCCCAAAGACATTCAAATCTGAAACTTAGACCCCAGGATGTGACTCTTTAGAAATAAGGACATTGCTGGGTAGTGGTGGTGCACACCCTTAATGCCAGCACTCATGAGGCAGTCAGGCAGATCTCTGTGAGTTCGAGGCCAGCCTGGTCTACAGCGTGAGTGCCAGGACAGCCAGGGCTACACAGAGAAACCCTGTCTTGAAAAACCTAAAAATTAATTAATTAATTGATTAATTAATTAATTAAAAGAAATAAGGGCATCCAGGTAAGTTGGCACTACCTGTAAGAAGAGATGTAACACAGAGACGCAGGAGGAAGAGGCCTCCTAAAGATGAGACAGACAGGCCTGAAGAACCACGAGTCAGGGATGCCTTACCCTACAAGCAGGGAGGCAGGCAAAGGGCAGCTATCTGGAACCTTCAGAGGCAGTCTGGCTAGCCGTGTACTTCAGGGACTGTCCTATGTGCTGATTCTACTGTCTTAGTGCTCTCGTCTTCCCCCACCTGCCCTCGCCTCCATGTCCCATGGCTACTGACATGCTTGGTAAATAAACCCAAGGAAGGTTCTCCACTCGGCCTAAAGAACAGTTAGGGCTGAAGGGACAGCACAGACATCTGAAAGTAGACACTCCCCAGACTCCGAGGTTCTCTTTTATTGCAGTGAAGCGTTTGGGCTATACAGAACCATTAGGGAAACTCATCTTGGGCAGGCAGGAATCTCCCTGGGGAAGCGCCCTGGATGCCTCATCCCCTGCCCGTGAGTCACATGCCGACAGGTAAACACTTGGCCAGCCAGGAACACACCTGCAAGGGTGACGCCAGGAGGCCAGGAGAACCTCACTGACATCCCACTAGGTCAACTGGCTGAATAGACACAATTATGCAAACAGGGCTGCCCTGTATCTAAAGTAAGTCTACGCCCAAAAGAAACAGTTTGCTGTCTCCGCCTGACCTTCCTTGGGTGTGTAGCAAGCCAGTAAGTGCTCCTACGAGCCACTGGAACACCCTCTGCAGAGCCCAGCCCCGG